CCTGAGCCAAAATCAAGAGTCAGCCGCTTAGCCAACTGAGTGACCCCAGGCACCCCTAAGCTCTGAGCTTTTATTATTTTTGGTGCTACGCATTTTTTTCCTTGTTTTCCTTGTTCCTATTTCCTTAGTCTTTGTATTTGAGGCAGACATGTAAATTTATCCTATTAAAGGGATATGTTCTCTCCAGTCTGTCTCTCTAGAATGTGTGTTAATTTTTTCCTTTATTCTCAAGCTTTGCGCAGTGGCAGTATCGTAGCCAGTGAGGTTTATCCGAGGCGCAGTTATTGCTAATTGAAAATTTTTTCCTTTATTCTTAAATACTTTACTTTTCTTCTCTTTTCTTTCCTTTTTTTTCTTTTTAGAGAGGGAGAGAGAGAGCACATGGGGGGGAAGAGGGAGAGAGAATCTTAAGCAGGCTTCACACTCAGCATGGAGCCCAATGCGGGGCTCAATCTCACAGCCCTGAGATCATGACCTGAGCCAAAAATCAACAGTTGGGTGCTTAACCTACTGAGTTGGGTGCTTAACCCACCCAGGTATCCCTCAAATACTTTTCTTCAGTTAAGACAGTATAATTACTTACCACCCATTTATTAAATCTATGTGAATGCTATAGGTAAGGAAGTTAAGTGGAGCACTCTTACTTCCTAGGTGCAAGGAGGTATTTTATTATATTTGTATAGTAAGATTCTTTATTATACTATACTTTAAAATAAGGCTTTGACCAGTTAAATACAGCTTCCTGGCTCAATACATGGATACTTCTTTTTAGAACTTGGGTTTTCACTTGTGGAATCAGTAGCGAATATTAGAAAATTATTTTCTCTGGGGGATTTATACAAAAAAATAGGATAACAGTATTTGCAAGATTGTGTAAGCCTTAAAAGAGAAGATATTCTTAGTTTTACATCTTATAATACTTTTGAAATGTTTATGTTCTTCAGATGTTATTAATCTAAGTTAATTGATCGTTAAGATTTTCCCATGTCAAACTGATAGGAAAAGAATATTATTCCAGGGCAAAATTATTCAAAACTATGCCTTTCATTTCAGTTCTTATGTAGAGGTTTGAGGTAGCATTTGCTTATTTGCCTTCCTGCTATTCTTTTCCTATTTGGCATTATTTCTTAGGTCTTTGTGGTGATGAGGAACTGTGAAACAAAAAGTGCACACTCATGATTGATATTTGTACCATACACTGGGGAGTCTTGGAGATCATTCTGAAATATTCTGTGATCCTGTGATCTCAGGTTTCGAAATCCACCTTTAGGAATAACAACCTTAAGAGAAGACACCCTCGGCAGCTCTTACTGAAGTGTTTAGGGTGATTCTGTAAAATAGCACGTGCCTGATAATTGGGATGAAAATGGTATTTGGAACTGTGTATTGGAAACACATTTTGAAGTATGTATATGCATGTATGGAAATATTGAGAAGAAAACAACAAAGTAATACATACTGCTTATATCTGTTTAAAAGGGGAGATATTTATGGATAGGGATCAGAAGAGACAATATGATATAATTATATGACTTGTTGACCTTGTTTGTGGAGTCTTTTTTAGGTCAAGATGTTTAATTGTACAGTAGAAATTTAGCCATTAAATAAGTAACAGTGTATAAATGAAAAGCAGATAATTTAAATTTGAAGAATGCTTGAAAATGGACAGTATAATTATATACAAATATGCAAATTAATGTAAATGCTGTATAGATACTGAAAACTCTAGATGTTGTACTTGAGGAAAAAACTTAGTATTTATATGAAGACAGTTTCTGAATTCTGAAACATCAGTTACAAGTAGAAAGTGATTCTAACAAATGTTATGTTACTTTACTCTTGCAGGCCAAAGAGTGCGGCCAGATGCAAAATAAGTGGCTAATGATAAACATTCAAAATGTACAAGACTTTGCATGCCAGTGCCTCAACCGTGATGTATGGAGCAATGAAGCTGTGAAGAATATTATCCGGGAACATTTCATTTTCTGGCAGGTGAGATGGAGAGTTAATCAAAATTTTTGTGGTATTTTACTTTTGTAGTATGGGATGTTGGGGAGGAAGCATTAGGTTATAAAATGGGGAAAAATTAATAACAGTTAAATTGTGACATATGAAAAAATAAAACCACCTAATGGCTGAAATAGTAAGGACAAGTGAAAATAAGGGCAGCAATGAAGAACTCTTAGGGGAAGGAGGAAGAAAGAACCATGCCATGTAAAGCATATAATACTCATATCTCAGAAGAGTTTATATATTTTGATAGAATGTACAACTACACTGTTCAGGAGAAATATAACATGAGCCACATAAGTAATTTAGAGTTTTCTAGTAGCCACATTTAAAAAGGTCAAAAGAAATAAGTGGAATTAATTTTAATATATTTTTAAAATTCACTCTATAAATGTAAATATATATATATATAAAATTAGTATTAAAATATCAAGGGTTTTTGTTGGTGTTAAGTCTTTAAGATTTGGTGTGTATTTTATACTTAGCAGTATCAGACTAGCCACATTTCAGGTACTTCAATATGATACATGTTCTGGTGGCTACTGTAATTGACAGTGCAGATGTAGAAGTTCTTGGAGTAATGGAAAAACATTTGCCTAAGGCCTGGATTTTAGCTTGAGTTTGATACTCCCATCTGTATGTCCTTAGACTTGTCACTTAGGGTCTTGCTGGCTGTAATTACTTTTTATATAAATTATCAAGCTAAAGTTAGATGACCTTGCTCTGATTTTTTATTTTATGAAAAATTAACTGAAAATAAAAACTTCTCAATGAACTTAATTATTTTCCCAATGCAAGTTATGCTATTAATGTTATTAATTTGCCTTTTCATGTGTTGCAGGCCCCTAAATTCAGTATGATTTTTCTGAATGGTACTCTTTTATTCAGCACCTGTTGATTGGTTATCTCTTTGTCTAGCACTATGCTAGGCACTCGAGCCATATAATCTTAATATATTGTGATTTATTAAGATGTATATGTTTGAGAGGAATGACAGATGGACAGATAAGCAGGAAGGGCAATAGACTGGGAAGGGAGGAAGAACAGATTTTATGTTTCTGTAAGTTTCCAGAGGGATTGAGGGCAGGAAGTTGAGGAAATTCACACCAGATAACTTTCATTTTCTATTTAATGTAGGAATAAGATTCTTATATATACCAAAGGTTAGAAGCTGACCTTTTTTATAATATCAATGATTTAACAGGTTTATCATGACAGTGAGGAAGGTCAGAGATACATACAGTTTTATAAGCTGGGGGATTTCCCCTATGTTTCCATCCTGGATCCACGGACAGGTAAGATTTATGTCAGCTTACAGTCTTTAACCTCTCATTTATCTTTCAGTTTTCTCAATAATTGATCTTTACTATTGGACTTGGATCCAGTTTCAGAATTATTTGTAATAATTTAGATAAAGGGTTTTTGTTCATGCCCTTGAAATGTTTAAATATCTGTGAAGTATGTATTTAGGAGTCTGTTTCTGGTAACTTTGGGAGATGGTAGTATTTTGTATTTTTGTACAGTTCTGTCCTTTCAAAGAATAGTTGTTTATCTTTCTTGTCCTTTTATAAGGGATCCCCTTAGGTTTTCTATCATTAAAATATTGATTGTTCAATTACTGGTTGTAATCCCACCAGAGAAGCAGGGGATAGAGCTAGTTTTATTATTTTAATTGCGCTTCATATAGATACTGCTTTGTCTGAATCTCTTTTTCTTAAATGGCAATAAGCGATACCAGCAGATAAAGTAGCTGCCCCTGTCATGATGGCTCGGAGTCTCTTAGGTTGGTTATAATTAACGTATCCTCTAGTTTATGAAGACAGTATGTAACTTATGCTGAAGGGTGGCGTGTATGTTCCCATACAAATTTTAATTATGCATGTGCCAAAGAAATATTTAATGAGAATATTCAGAATTAATTTTATTATATATCCTCATTTTTAATTTTTAGGTCAGAAGCTAGTAGAGTGGCACCAATTAGATGTATCTTCTTTCTTGGATCAAGTGACAGGATTTCTGGGTGAACATGGGCAACTGGATGGACTTTCTAACAGTCCCCCCAAAAAATGTGCCCGTTCAGTAAGTATGACTGAGAAGTGGTGATGGGCAGTTAAGTGTAATTGTGTATGAATGTCTTGTGTAAAATGTTTTGAGTAAATATAATAACATAAGTTTTGGACAGTTACAGTTTCACAGCACCTTAGACACCCTCCTTATATTTGGATAATTTCCCACATTAGGGTTCAGTCTTCTCAGTGAAATTACAAGATTCGTATTCCCAGTTTCCCTTGCAGTTAGGGTACAGGCATGTGACCTGAGACCCGGATTTAGAAGTAAACAATGTGAATATGTAGCAGTGGACAGGACGACTGCTGTGGCAAGCCCAGTGACAGAGGAATCCACTCCTTCAGGGGCAGCACTGCCAGTGGAAATGGTATTTTTCCTAGACAGTTTTCATGGTGGTATAGCTGGGCATTATTATTGGTTATATAGCTTTGGGGCTTGGCTCTCTGGCCCACTCAGATTATTTCTATATATAATTTCTATAATATGCTATTATGAGGCAGACCTGTTTGATAATTGGAATCAAGATTAGTGGCATGTAAGAGAGCTTCAAAGATATGGGAATCTCACATTTGGTTGTAGGAGCTATTTGGGTTTGATGGCAGTGAGAATAAAATTCGTTTCAGAGGATATGACTTGAGCAGTCCATATCATGCATCTGTGAAACACAGTTCCTTAAGTTATCACCTAGAATAAAGTACCCACAGGCACAAAATGCTATGGGTGCTTGCCAAGGAGTGGTATAGAATTCTTTTTTTTCCCCCCTTAGAGCAGTTTTATTTAGGTAGACATAGTACTGCAGAACAAAAACATTGTTTCATCTTTATCTATAGACACAGTATTTCGGGGGTTTTTGTTTTGTATTTTGTTTTGTATTTTGTTTTGTTTTGGTTTGCTTTTCTCATTACCCAGAGAAGTTTTACTTAAGTAGAATTCTTTTTTAAGGCATAAAAAACCCAGAGAGTTTCTTATCCTTTGTAGTCATAAGGCTGTTACTCTCAAAAACCAGAGACTGGGCTTTTGAGTTGCTGAATTACAATAACATAAACTGAGTTTACAACTTCACCAGGTCTTTTACAAAAGTAAGGCTTTTAGTGGGAGAGTGGGACCATAACATTGGACAAATACATAGAGGTGATTGGGGTAACTAGTACCTCAGACCCCACTTCTGATACTAAATTCTCTGAATGTTACAAATATGGATCAACTGTGTGCAAGAGAAACACCCACAAATAATGACTTAAACAAGGAAGACATCTCTTTTCTCAACAAGAAGTTGACATAGGCAGTCTAGGACATGACTCCTGTGGATGTCATCAAGGAACCAGATTCCTCCTCTTGCCCCCACCCCCTCCTTTATCCTTAGTATTGGCTTTTTGTTCTCATGTTCACAGTATAGATGCTATGCTCCCAGGCATTATATCCAAGCATGGACAAGGAAGAAGGGGGTAGTGCCTCTATACAAAAGTAAACAGCTACAGATAAGAATTCTGCTTACTTTAGCTGGACACATGTCCTTGGACAAATACAGTTGAGGTTCCGTTAAGGAGGCAAAGAAGACTGAATGTGATATAGGAAATTAGTAGTGTCCATAATAATGTCATTCTTTAAAATCAACCTATATGGTACACAGTGTTACTATCTGTAGTCAGTCTAAGCCATTACATGTCGTATGGGCACATCTGTTTGCTTTTGTGTGTGTGATAAGTTAGCCGTAAGTTTATTTTATTTAAAAAAAGTTATAGGGGCACCTGGGTGGCTCAGTCGGTTAAGCGTTTGACTCTTGGTTT